GGGGGGGGGGGGGGGGGGGAGTGAAAGTGCCTAAGTGAACTCGAATCAAAAGCTAACACGTCAGATCAGACCAAGGAAAGAGAAAGGCAAGTGGGGAGGAAAAAATAAAGAAGAAGAAAAGAAATAAAATAAAGTGATCAATAAAAATCAGTTTTGTAATCAAACCCAGAAATGGCTCCAAACTGGGCTCCAGCCTCCTTACTCCCAACTCTTGCTCTGCACATTACCCGTAAGTGCACAAAGTAGCCCAAGACAGGAGAATTTTCCATATTCCTAAAACATGTCGACCAACTCAAAATGGACGCCTCTTTTTTTTTTTTTTTTTTTTTTTTTTCCGCTTTAACTACTGCTTATCTTTTTACTACTAGTACTAAAATCATCCTTTCCCCCAGCAAGACATACAAGAATCTAATCTCATTTTGAAAACATGCATTTTCTTACTTTACGCTTAGGAAAATGGATGCTATATTCGCTGCTGTTGGTATTTTTCAGCTAACGCAGACACTTTTCGGATGTTTAGAAAGTGCATCGTACAAACAAGAAGAAAAACCAAACAGAACTGAATCGATCTGTTCCTTACTTGTTTCTCATTAAGAGCTGCTATCCTTGATTGCCTTTCATGGATTTGTTTCTTAAGATCCCCGTTCTGCAAAAACGGCAATAAGACGCATATTAAAGGCAAAGTGGAAACTAAGCCCTGTAATGAATAAACTTGCGATCTAGAAATTGTTCAAAGGCAAAACCGTTCCATCGCAGCCGTACAAAAGCATGCACACACACAACACACAACCTTAGTAAGAAAGCTCAGCACAGACTACAAAATGAGATCTCTTACTGATAAAGTTTCTCATCCTGCTGTCCCAGCATAACTGCGCTGATTACGGCAGGGATAAAATACTGAAGAAGAGAAAAAAAAGGATCTGCATTTACCTGTGGATCTTGCTTCATCTGTGCAATTAGTTTCTATTAAAAAAAAAAAAAAAATCACCCCCGAAAAAGGAGGAATTAGAAACTGTTTCAAGTTTAATGGATTTTTTTAAATGTATGTATTTGTGTGGACGGGGGAGGGAGGGGGGTAAGGAACAAAGAGGCAAGTAAACACTGCGAGTCAGTTTCAAGCAAAGCTCATAAATATTCAAGTCTCGTCCTAATCTCTCCAGCACACACACGCACACGCACACCCGCTCACACCCGCACACACTCACACGAGCCCCAGCCGCAATGCTAACTCCGGCTCCACGGCACGCAGGGAGAGGACAAAACAACAACGGCGCAACCCCCCGAAGCACCCCGCAACTCGGGCCAACAAACCGCCAAACTACTTTGCCCGACTGCACGTCGTTTGCCGCGGGGGCCGGGGGTCCCCCAACCGCAACCCCGGTCCCGCAGCCCCCCTCCGCTGCCTGCAGCATGCAACACGGGCGGCCCGACCCGGCAGCCGGGCGAGGAGCGGCTCACGGGCAGCTCGTGGCGTTTTTTACCTGATGACATTGGATTTCCACTTTTAACGCCTCTTGCAAGCTGTGCAGCTCCATCCCCGCAACTTGCCGGGCACTTTCCTGTCACTTTCAGCTCCGAATGAAGTTGTTTTGTTTGTTTGTTGGGTTTGCTTGTGTTGTTTTGTTTTTGTTTGGCTCGCTTTT